AGGGAATTCTGGAACTGCTCTCAAGTTTCATCAAGTTTCTGAGCATTCTCTCGGTACTAAGGAAGATGGTAGGGAGGGCGATGCTTCATGCCGGCCGCAGACGAGGCTGTGGTCCATGGGTTCTCGCCTGACAAAAAGATACAATAGCAGCAAGAAACATCAAAGAACATGCAGATACAGAAACTGGCCGCACACTAGGAATCTGCAAGAACCTCCTCGTATTTTCATGTTTTCGCCCTGCAAGGGTTTATGAGCAAAACCCGTTATAGACTCTGCAAACCATTGATAAAAACCTGTGACCGATACGACCTCAGTAAGAGAAGCATTCTGTACTACTGAAAGGCCGTAAAATGCTCCCATCTTCAAGGTCACCAGAAGGATTGGACTGGCACAGCTGATTGAGAGGCATGAATCAATGACACAACTTGATGTACAAGTTGCAAGCCTTGAGGTTTGGGTATCCTTTGAAAACTCATTTGAGACAGCTACCCTCAAATATTAAATAACACCGCCGTAGCGCGCACATGTGCTGCCTTTGACTGACATCACATCACATCCAACACTGTCCAACACGTATCAACACACAACCAAGCGAAATGGATATATATATATACTATATATATATGTACAAACTTAATTTGATGCTGTCAGTTTGCTAGCTGGTTAAGAGGTGCACAAGCGGTTTGATTGAAGTCCATGCCATGAAACATGATGAAACTTAGTTGAGCTTTCGAGACTTAAACAGCAGGTCCTATGCATTCAGGATTTGCATGGATTTGAAAATTGATTTTTTGGACTGAATTGTCGCATTCACAGGGGCATATGATGACAGATGCAGCTGCAGGCGAGCCCGCATCCGCGAGCTGCTGAAGCGCCTGAACTTGGCTCAGACGCCCTGCATGGCGGACGTGGTAAGAGTTGATGCGAGACAGCGACAAGCCAAGGAGCTCATGGCAGCCGGCACGCTAACTGCACCTACTGGTCTGATAGCTGCAGCGCACGAGGAAATTCTGAATGTCCATAAAAGATCATCAAAGTATCTTTTGCATATTGCCTGTCTCATAAAATCGATTGCATGACCTGGAAGGAGCGACATTTGCGATTGGCCGGAAGCAGCTCCACTCCGAGCACAGGTGTGGCTGAGAGAATTGTGCCTTGAAAAAGGTGCCATATCCATACGCGGTGTGACTTCGGACTCTTAGTCAGCTAGATTAAAGTTGCGAGGCTTTACGAGGTCCAAAGAGCTCGAGATTGGAATGCAATCGTTCAACATCGTTGAACATAGCGCGATACTATATTAGTCACTATATATATTATAATATATATATATGCACCCCTGCCACCCCCCCTCCCCCCCCAGGGGATGGGTCCCATATACTGGCCCGATATGAGATCTTCCCCCTCCCCCCCGTGTGGTGTGGTGGGGGTGTGGCACTGTCCCCCTCCCCCCCCCGTGGTGTGGTGGGGGTGTGGTATGGTATGTTGGGTATGTATGGTGTGTATGGTCGATCTGGTATGGCATGTTTGGAAAGTATGGTATGTTTGGTATGTATGGTAGGTATGGTATGTATGGCATGAGTGGTTGGTATTGTATGGATGGTAGGTATGGTATGTAAGTCTGTTGGGTATGGTATGTTTGATATGACAGTATGTATGGTCTGTATGGTATGTATGGTTACTATGATGGGTATGGAATATTTCCTATGTAAGGTAGGTATGGTATGTATGGCATGTATGTTTGCTATTGTATGTATGGTAGGTGTGGTAATTACATGTCATATGTATGGTATGTATGGTATGTATGATAAATATGATAGGTATGGTATGCATGGCATCATTGACATGCATGGTAGGTACGGTATATGTTAAACACAGGTAGTGTTGTCAGAGTACACAGGTAGTAAATAGGAAGTAGATACAGTAGATACATAGCACATGTATAGATGACTATAGGTAGCACGTAGGTACTTTGAAGGAGTATGTGTGCTACGTAGGTCGCCCAAAAGGTAGCATGTACCTAGTAAATGCGAGGCTGGTAGTCAGAAATGCTGCCAATAGCTTGCAAATAGAAGGGAATTGGGGCTGCTACCTGGTGACCCAACCCATTGGGGGGGCGAGGGGGGTGGAGAGACGGAAGACGGGACCATATATGATATTATATAATATTATATATACATTATAATATACATAATTATGTATATACGTATATATATATATACGTATATATATATATGTATATTATGTTGTATGTACATATATATATATATATATTGATATATATTTAATTATTATGTATGTATATCTATATATATTATTCATATTATATTTATAATTATATATTTATTATTTATAGTTATAATATACGGGAATCGTTCTAAAGGTCCATGTAAGGGTTTTTAATTGCCAAGGCCGCCGGGTTTCAACATGAGACCCCGCGAAAGCTTTTTTCTGAGTTCGCAAAAGCGACTTTTTGTTTGGCAAAAGATTTAGCAAAAGATTTTAACATGAGACCCCTGCAAAAGATAAACGTGGGGTTCGCGAAAGATTCATGAAAGTATGTTTTTATTCGCGAAGGTATGCAGATAAAGGAACTGAGAACAACCGCCATGCCATATATAACACTTCATAACAGAATCCTGTGCACACTTCCAGCCAGGTGCCTTGTCGCCGGCGTTGTCCTTGCGTCGCTCTCGTTCCTTCATGGACCTCATCGGAACCAGTGAAGAGAACAGCTCCGCTTCAAGGACAGTCAGGATATGAGCTATGGCAGCTATGATGCGTTGTGGCAATGACACATCCTGGACAGACAAACACATAGACAGAGACAGAATAGCCCTGGATGTCACCTGAATCTAGGTCAGTCTCGGTCCACTGGAACATCTAGCGGCCCTGGTTTGCCTGGAAAAGCTTTGAACTTCAAAGACATTGCTGAAGTTTTGATCCAAGTTGTCCGCCTTTCTTTTGTCAGTTTTTCCAGCGTTGTATCCTGCGTCTCCCAGCAGCTGTGCTATCTATCCAGGAGTTCTCCAGTCGATCCCCGCTTTGTGGAAGATGTCATTTCTCGTCTTCCTGCAAAGGTGGCCACAACCATGCGACGGGGCGACTGGGCTACGACATTCAGCCTCTACAACTTTGGCTTGGAATCTAAAGGTGACTTACACACCAGACATTAAATCACATATTAAGATTATTAAGTGTGAGTGTCACATCGTGTATGTACATAATTGATCATAATTGTAGCGATATAGTACAATATGATATATAATATAATATCACATAACATAACATGACATAAATTATAATATAATATGACATAATATATTTTAATTAATATAATATGATATCACATAACATAACAATACATAACATAATATAATATAATGTAATATGACGTAATATAATAGATATAATATTATATCACATAACATAACATAATATAAAATAATGTAATATGACATAATATAATATAATATAATACAATATAATATAATTTAATTTAATTGAATATATGATATAATATATACATCTTATTACGTATTACATAGTATATGTATATATATATTGTATCCCGGCTCCATGCTCGTTTTGGGGAACCTCGAGAGTGAAGTTTTTGGAAAGTAACATCCTTTTAAGATGAGGCAGTGTCAGTGCTAACTTTATTTCTTTACAAAGGTGCTGTGGCAGTTCAAAGTGGTGGTTTTCTGATCAAAGAGCCTGGTATTTCAGGGAGAAAGAGCTCCGTCTGTGCCCAAGATTAGTTCAGTCAGCAGGTCTTTAGAATCAGGAACAATACAGGCGGTGATTCGTGCTGGAGCTTACACAAAGACAAATATGAAGCTGACAAGTGATCAAACACAATATGATCAATCAAAAACTGATGCATCTAAATGAGTTCCCTGTAAAGAGCGTGTAACCGGTACCCCATAATATATATATATACATGGCAATCGATCTAAAGGTCCTTGTAAGGAGTTTTAATTGCGAAAGTCGTGCATGTTATGTTGGAAACCCTAGCGAAAGTTTTTGTTTGTGTTCGCGAAAGATTTTTTTCATCCGCGAAAGTTTCGCGGAAGTTGGATATTATGAATCATTATCATTGTATCCATTACAGCTTGTTAAGGGCTATCACCTCCTGCCGCCCGGGGTCCGGCAGGAGAATGGTACCGCAGATTTACCTTTCCCTTCATAGGTAGCAGCCAAGTTTCCGCAGGTGAGGCTTCGCCACAGCACATCCTTGCACCTGCCACTGGTACTGCCCAACGTTGCTTTCTGAAGTCTCAAGAAACAAGCTCCAAATGCAGCAGCCAAGCTTCCAAAAGTGAGGCTTTGAGAGCCAAACACCAAGGCCCGTGGGGTTTGCTTTTCCTCTGGCGCGCCCCCCTGCTGATGGCTGGGGTCTGTGGATAGGGGATGATAGGGGTATTTTCGCGAAAGTTCTGCGAAGGAGCGGCCGAAAGTCAAAGTGCATTTTGAAGGGAGTGGCCCAGTAAGCCGCGCAAAAAAAGTGCCTAATCAGCAACCTGTCCTGAGAAGGGGATTCCGTGATGCTAGCTGCATGTTTACAAGGCTATGAAGAAGTTATCCGTGAGAATTTGGTGTAATTTGGCAGGTGACGAACGAATCTTCATAAGAGGAGTTGTTGCTCAACATGGGTGCCGCGACAGATAAACATGGAGTTCGTGAAAGATTCGCGAAAGATTTTTTATTCGCGAAGAATAGCCGTTCCCGGATAAAGGAATTTTGATCAACCATCATATATCATCATTTTATATATATATATATACACATATATATATTGTACCTTGTGCATCCTTAATTAATGTTCTTGTGACATGGTTTATTGTCACTTGTAGAAAGCCCGTTTCATGGCAGCCCCTGTTGAAATGGAAGCCCAGGTGAGCCATGCACCATTTGTTTGGAGATTCCAACCTCAGGCTGGCAAGGACTTTCCTTTCTGAAGTGCGCGCTTTATTTTGCAGGGAACGGCCCGTTGGACTGTGATTCTTAATCCGATCGTTGTGACAAAGGTGCTTGCAACTGCAAACAAGACTTTTGACCTGATACTTGTACAATTTGTACAGTCCATGGAATTAGGCAGCTGAATTGAGGCCTGGGTAAAAGCACTGTTTGAGTGATGCTGCGCCAATGCAGGTGAGGTGGTTACAACGTTGCCTTGTTGCCACTGGTACCATACCGAGTGCATTCGAGCTACTTGGCAGCAGACAATGACCAAACACTGACACTCCTACTTTGCCGGCGTGCCAATTCGCGGAATGTGTTCAAACATATTCAATCCAGTTCAATCCTGCGGAAATTCAGAAACTGAAGCTGCTCTGGGTGCACCGAGGAATGGCTGCTGCATGCAAGGCTGTGCCCCTTGTGCAAGACGGTGGTGGTGCCTGAGGAATTGGGAATCTGAGTCCAGCAGCGTCGAAGAACAGGTGTGTCGTCAGACTGGCCATGTTTGATCATGTTGACCTATGCTGAAACAGGTTAATATTTTAAAAGGCACTTTTAACGATGGCGAATGTTTAAATTCCCCGTAGATCATCATAGATCACCCCTCACCATTCTCCAGGAATTTTGTTTACTCTACACTCGTCACGCGTGACTGTGCTCCCTTGGAGTTTTTGCACGAGTTCACCAAGATTCATGAAATAATATGATGAGTTTAGAACCTTGGAGTTTGGTCTGTGCAATCTGTGCGATTGGAGCCAAACTTTTGGTGAAACTTCCTTAGACCATCCCGTGCAAGTTTAAGATGGGTTTAGTTTTCTTTTCCACAAAAAGATACAAAAAGTATGTACAACACAAACAGACCCAGTTTGACACATTGCACCACGGCCTTTACTCATAGATCCCCAGCATCATCCAGTCAACCATACGTGTTGACTGTTTTCGCGACGTCTCACCCTGTTGCTGCCGAACTCCGGCGCGATGCAAATGCAAAGGCAGGAAACAGAGTCTTACGAAGTCTTACGAAGTCTTACAGAGTCTTACAGAGTATTGCTTTACACATCTTTACACAAGATTCGAGGCTCGCTAGACTAGACCCACACCAAGCCGCTAAAGTCTAGCTCACTTCGATTCCCACAAGAAAGTCTACGAAACATGGCAGACACATCTGAGTGCTCGGTTCCATTGGTTTGAAAGGAGTCGACACACGAGCTTTTGGCTGACAGTCGTTGGTGTTTAGCATTTGCAGTGTCAAGAGGGTCTAGCATTTGCATTTGTTTGTGACTCGAGACACTTATGAGTTTCTTAAATTTGTCAGCTTATCAGTGGCATCACCATCTATGGTCAGTTTTCTGCTTTCTCTTAGCGAACCAACCTGAAACGTAGAGGCAGAGCAATGAGATCAATGAGCAAGGCCGTCTAGAGTTTCATTAGTGTGGCCCCAAAACGCCTGTGTGATCTGTCTGAACATCGAGTTTCAATGGTGCCATGGTGCCAGTGTCCAGATCAATGCCCTCAGAATCTCAAAGAATTGGCTTTCACAGGTGTCCTGCGGAACATGCGATGTTTGGGATCGCTTTGCCTGTGGATTTGCGGCGAAGCTGGCAGCTCTGTGCCGTCGCGGAAGTCCACACTGACCTTCACAGTACTGCGGCTGCAGTTGTGACAGTGGGAGAAAGGTATAGAAAGGTTGTGCAGATTGAAGCAGATTGATGGAAAAAGAAATGAGGATGGATGATGGATGATCGATTCAGTTTGTAAGCTGCAATAATGTCGTGGCCTTGTTATGGGCCGAGTACGAAGTTGTGTGACTAGGTCTCTGCAACACATTCAAACTTTTGAGTGGAACAGGTCATTGGCATTTGCTGCATTTGCCCTTTGACCTTTCAATCATCACTGAAAGCATTGATGACCCCAATCAAGAGTTAAATTGTAAGCAAACTTCATCGATTGACACTGGTACCCTGCAGTGGAAAATTGAGATTCCTGTCAGGAAGGTGCTCAACAGGTTGTGGCGAGACAAATTGCAAGATCTTACGAAACTTGTTGAGCGATGTCAGCCCTTTCTGCTTCTGCCATCATTTGGCTATGGATCAATGCCTATTAATACCATTTTTAGTGGGATGAACATCCATTTACCAGCTATTTTGATGTTCACCAGGGGTACAAGGTTTTGACACACTGCCATTTGAGATGTTCATCTAAGATGTTCATCTAGCATCATCAAGCCGTTCTGCCAAGGAGGATTCAACTGGTAATGAGCCCGAGACTGAGCCAGAGGAGGCCATGGCAGATTCGGCTGCCTCCCATAGCCAGCTTAACTTCAGTCAGTTTCAATCGGTTTCACCGGTTTGCTTAAGAAATTTGACAAAGTGCTGGACATATACCATTTGGGACTGAATCTATGATTGCTTTGACCGACAATGCTTGTCATTAAAGTTGTGCTCGGCACCCCAGCATTTCAAGTGACTGCAAATACTTCTGAATCCATTTTGCGGACACAGAAGAGCCGCGGCTGAGACTAGCCATACATGGTTGGAGTAGGCACTGTAGAACAGACTGTCTGAATCGACTATAAATGAAATCTGGTTGTGAAATGTTGTGAATGTGTGTATGGCGACCTCGCAACAAGCTTGTAAAGCAAAAGTGATTTCCTTTGCAGGAATGACATACTCTGCTCCCTTTGTTCTCGAGAACCAAAACCCAAGTGATTCGAGTGCCTTATGATTCAGTGATGCTTCAGAATGTTTCAAGATAAGGGTGCTGTTTCTTTCCAAACAACATTGGAGCTTCCCACGTTAGAGTATGGCTGCAAAACATGCTCCCTTGAAAGTTGCAAGTGCGATAGGGGATCCCGCCGTGGCATGTTTCCTTCAGCCAGATTGTTCAGCCAAGACATGTGAGATTTGAATGCATTCGCCTTAGCCATCCTTTGCCTTAGCAGGAAATGACAATGAAGCAAAAAATATTGCACAGCTCCTTTGGTAGCAACAACTTTCTTTGCCACCTTTGAACCCTGTGAGACATATTGAATATACATCTTACCTATATACCCACGTATATTACTTCTCTGATATTATGTTTATATAAAGGGTCTATGACATTTTCATTTTTTCAAAAAGAATTACTACATTGTCATCATACTTTGTATGTTTTGTTTATTGTTGCTGTTTTACGCGTTTTCATGGTAGGGGTTCGTGCATGCCTTTTGGTGCAGTTCCTGACCTCGACCAAAACTGGGATTGCTGGCAGTATCATGTCTCTCTTGTGCAGTGACATTTCGGGATTTGTGGCTGTGGTGTTTGTGGCTGTGTGCTTAGATTCTTAGATTAAATTTATCATTAAATCGGAGCCTTACACATATCAAAACAATTCAAAACATTGATTTAAGATTATTGGAATTTAATGGAACCAGTTTTTGGAAACGGTTCGGGGGCATTGTTCCTGATTTCGCTTTGTTGCTCAGGACTGACGAGAATGAACACCGGAGACTTGTTGCGACAGGTGCCATGAAGCACTCACTGACATGTGACCGTAATGTGACCATTTGGATATCATTTGGATCCTTCAAACAATATTGCAGCAGCCGATAGTCAGATAGCAGTCGTTCGTGGTAGCAAAAATCATGGCATATCATGACCATACGGACCATAGGGACCAGCACTTTTTGCCAAATGGGCAAAACAGGTCAAATTTCAGGTTTGAAAAGTTTGATTGTTGTCCGACGAGTCAAAAAATGTGCCTCCTGCGGTCCACAGATACGGCGGAACATCAGCTCCTACCAGGTGTCTTGATCAAATTGATCGGCGAAACTGGAAGGATTTTTTATGATTTTTGGGTTGCTTATTCAAGACATGACCACGGTACCACGTCCTGACAAATTTAAGGTGCTCACTGAGTGGCGGACCCTTGTAGGGAGAGTGGTAGATCCACCAGCGAAAGCAACGTTAGGCTTATGCAAAGTATTGCAAAGTCAAGAAAATGTCATGGTTGGATTTGTGAGTTTCCGCATTGTGGTGCCAGATTTTAACATGAGCATACTTGGACAAATTATGTATGTTTGATTATATGACCCTCAAGCCTCAAGATAGCTGGACAGCACCGTGTAGATTCGGAAACCCCGTCCATCGCCAAAATTCAAAGCAAATGAGGGGTAGTAAGCCAAGATCCATGTGCCAGGGGAAAGCACCTTCACAAGGGATGTCCTCAATGCTTTCACAGTACAGCACAGTAATTGATTAGGATGGACGAACAACCCGTTTCTGCAAAAGCGAAAAGCATCCAAAACACAAGACAGCCGACCAGGATTTGTGTATTCCCTGGCCTCAAAAAGATATCTGTTGCTGCAAACCAGTGTTTACTAGGAAAGAAGGCTTAGAGTCTCTGATGTAAGTGGAAATAGATTATTGTGAATGAATGCAAATGAACGTAAATGTTTGTATCGTAAAAGATTGTGAATGATGCTAGGACCAATTGTAGGATCTTGTGATGTCGGATTGTTTTTCACCAGCCGATGACAGCTTCACCGGTCGATGTGCCTCAAGGTCCTGTCAGATGCAGACCTTTCATGGGATGCCGAGGACGGTATCCATCTGAGATCAGTTGCATATCTATGCTTTGAGAAAAGATTGAGAAAAGTAAGTATTCGATGGTATTCGGCCAAATGACACAAGATGCCACAAGTATGACTCCATGACCACGGACAGGAAACCTGTTACTTGCCCCTCCAGTCTCGCTGCAAGAAAAGCGTCGGCCCCGCAAACCAAACAGCAGGACATGGCTACGGAGCCTGAAATAAGCTTTGCCGTGCGAGAGCTCCAAGCGCAGCTCGGCTATGTTTTGTATTGTAATAATATATATACACATATATATATATTTATATTATTATAATAATAATTATTATTATTAGTTATAATTATATATATATGTATGTAATTGTTACATAATTACATTATTTTATATTTTATGTCAGAATATTAATATGTATATGATATTATGTAATAATGTATATTATCATCCTAAAACAACTATATCAGACAAAGCTGGGCAATTCCGCACCTATCCTAACCTGACTCATTTGTTGGGTGGTTAACATAGGATTGATGTGTATGAAAAACGTGGAGAATTGCTGTGCAGTGCAGGATGCAATCTTCAAAAACTGTAGTTGTTAATTCAGTAGTATTGTCCTAGAAGTGTGTATGCTGATGTGTACTGTTCGGCAAAAGCACTTGTACACATTGCACCACTCGCAAGATGTCATAGCTATCAGCCTTGTATCACACAGACTCAGAGGACTTCACATCTTTAGATCATGTTCAATGACTGCTAGTGATTGCTTGTGTCACAATAGAATAGCCTGCTAGTGCTGACCGAAAGCCCTCAGGTGGGTGCGTGTTGGCAAAATGGCTAAAAATTGCGATTCCTCAATATTCATTGTTCAGATAACATTCTAATCTCTAATTGTTTCGTCATGCATGTCCTTGCAATTTCTGTCCTTCATCCAGGTACTTTTCCGATTGGCAGCGGGCTCAAACAGACAAGTTTTGGCAGCGCAAGTCTCATAAGGCGTGGGTTGGGGCATGTTTTTTCATGCAGCATTAAAATGGATAGTGTTAGCACCTTCAAAACAGCCAATAGAACTCCTTGGAATCAGACTGCTATTCAGTCCGCTTCTTCATGTGGAAAGCGTAGTGACAAACCCATTGTCAAAGGATCGAGACTTCCTCCTGGTTGAGATGACCAGTGACCAATAATAGGATTGATCAGCTGGATCACAAAATGAACCGAACCCAGATTTGTTGCACCACCATGGGAAAATTGGACACAGAAGGATGCCAATTTTGGAACCCATTGTATCAGCTGGGTTTTGTAAAAAGTTGTTCCAGCATTAGGTTTTGAATGGTTTTGATGGGTTTCCACTTGCTCGTGTCTGCCATATCCGCAGCATGTCAATGGGCTGGCAGGTGGTAATCGCCGTGGTGGTGTGTGAGGAGGAAGATAGCTCATTGGTGGCCCTTCGGGGAATGAACACCGAGGTAGCTTGCTTCAGCTTGTCAAGCATCGGATTTGACCTCTGGCCTTAACTTTGAACGAGTAGGATGAGTAGGCAGCTCATGATGCTCATGTCAATGTGACCTTTGCCGCTCAGCAGATGTCAGGTGAGTTTGCCTTCTGGCTCCTTATGCGCCGAACGTGCTGGAATTGCCCGTGCGGCAAGCGAATTTTTTGCAGCCAAGAGCATCAAGGTTCCTGGCCATGCAAAAAGTCGTGCTGAAGCAAGTGCCTCCTTCATTTCCATCAAATGGTTTTTTTAATGGTAGCTTCAGAATGCTTCAGATCGTGAAAGTTCAATAAGTTCAATCATTTTCATCATTTTCATGGCCGGCTTTCCAGGAGCAGTTCCCAGCTGCGCAGGCAATCGCCGTCCTGGATCCATCTGGAGACATCGCCCCTTTGTGGCCTTGCGAGGCATGGCTGGAGCAAGAAGATTCTTGGGTCGACAGGGTTCAAATGGCTTCAAACAAGCTGAAGGAACTGAAGGAACAACAATTGTTTTGTTTGTTCCGGTCTTTTTTGTGTGTATAGTTGATACATTGTTTGCATATGGTTGCGTGTATACTGTATACGTATACGTATTGTGTATGTATATAATATATATATATATATACATATATAGATACGTACATACACTACAAACAGGATGCACTTACGATACAGTATACGCACGATCATGCACATACGATGCATAGAGAGTACATGCATGTACATGGTGCGATATGTATGCTGCATACATTTGGTCTAGAAACATCAAAAGTTCCGATGGTCACACTTTTGGAGCTGGAACCAAGCCTCCGTGCCAGGTGTGTCAAAGCTGGTTGGCGAAGATCAGAGAGCAGAACCCCAGGACCAGACTCAGATCGCGGAGATCACCCGGCTGTGAAAGGGCAGTATAAGGCAGTGATCTTTTGTGAAAATGTTTGAAAATGTTTTTTATGTGAGTTTTATTCAATGAATTCTAAATTGTATATAATTGTATAACGTATATATATATAGGTTTTATATAAGGTTATGATACTTTCTGATATCTCATGGTCGCCCATCAGTCTAGGAGATTTATGTAGATTTTGCACAAGCCACCAGAACCTCGCGCTAGTTCACTTGAGCTGTTCCATGTGAGATCCCTGTGCAAGTTGCAGGATTAGCGTGGTGGCCTTTCCAAGAACCTTGCCTTGTTATGAATGGGAATTAATGGGACTGTTGTGGACACAGTTACTTAGACTCTGGACTACCGCTGTAATTTAGAAAATGTATGAAAGCGCACACAGTTTGTGCTCGTTATGATATGGCAAGCGTCATTTGTTTGTTTTGTAAGTTGCAGTGAAATTCAATACTATCATTTGACTTCAGATAGTTGTCCGATGATCTTCAGTCATTGCGATTGCCTGAAGCGGTTTTTCTGGCATAGGTGTTGGTCTCCTGAAGAGTTGGGGAGAGAAACTATGCGCCGACAAAATGACGCGGTGTCTATATTAAGCAACATGTTCTGGTGTTTTTTTTCAAGATATGCATGCAAACATATAATATAGATATACCCGTTGGCAGTTCCCTTACATTTTGGCAGGTGCTGACCCTGTTAATTATAAATAGTTTATATACAGGCATTTTGTAGTTACAGGAAGCCCCAGCACCCAGGGCATTTTGTAACAGGACACCTAAAAAGGCAAAGTTGTAAGAGCTTTGAGGGGCCAACTCACTAGACCATCGAGTTTGTGAAACATCAAAAACCTGTAAATTCTCAGCAGGGTGCGCCATGACATTTTGTAAGGAGATGTCGAGAAGAGTAGAAGAACCATTTTGTAAGAATATATGGTTTTTAAACATTGATACAAATTATTGTTCAGATCTGTACATGTTTTTGATTCGACTCAATCATCTTCCACACCTTTGCGTTTGGCATTGCGTTGGGGGCAATGCTGGCAAGAGCCTTTGCCTACCTGAAGGATCTGAGGGCATTCCGGAGGTCGTCTGGGTCACCAGAGCCGGAACTTGCTATCATGTGGATAGCGATTGCTACTTGCAAAAGGGTGGCAAACTTTTACAGCTTGATACAGCTTGTGTTCACTTCAAAAAGAAAAGGAATCCTTACAAAAAGGATGCTTGAAAATCAACGAGACCGGGGAAAAAAGAAGCAGGGAACCAGAAGTTGTTGCCTTACTGCCTTACTGATACCCAAACATGCTATTTGCTATCTAAAATAACAACTTCTTATAAAAAGGTCATCGGGATGATGCAACATTCACATCATGAAGAAAGTTGTCACCTTACAAAATGATGGGATTTTAGAGTCGAATGTTGGTGCTAAAACCCTATGTTTTTTGGAAGGGCCCAAATTCCCAAAAACCGAAGCATTTATAAAGGTTTTCAAAATCCCACCATTTTATGATATTTTATGCTTACAAGAAGCCGGGTGCGACACCTCCCCCCTAATCTGAACGGGTATATATATATAATATATATATATATATAGAGAGAGAGAGAGATTCTTGAAGAAAATGCCATGTGTGCAGACAAGGAAAGGCGGATACAGGGGCAGCGTTTTTGAGAAGTGGAACATAGGCGTAAACAAAGCGCAGCCCCCCGGGGATGGCGGTCACTTGTGGTCACAATTCTGCGGTTGAAATGCTGCAGAGGCTCTTTGCGTAGGCACCAATCCACGGGCAAAGTTCTGTGACACCACTTCCAATCAAGCCTATCTCAGATGCTTACCGAGAGGACTGATTCGTATTGTCTCACAACTGCGTTGGTAGCTCCTGGTCAAACCGCGAATAAAGATAGTCATATAATATAGTTACATATGCTATGTGACATGTTATTAGTTCCAGCCATTTGCCCACAAACTTAGGCAAAGAGAACGATTTTAAGACCATCTTGGTACAAAAGAACGGAAAGGATGTTCGGCCGCCAACTGCTGTCAGTCGGATGCTTGGCCATGATGGAGCTCCGTGGTTGCAGGATTTCGTTGGAGTTTTGCATACGTGGGTAAGCAATGATAAGCGTGTATTTGCGAGAGTGAAAGGGTGCTTTTACTACTGGAAAGCGCCCAACAATGTGGTAACGCCTCGTTTTTGAGGAACGGAAAGGGCAGGGTACGTAGGTACCAAGTTTCTGGGAGCCTTTGGTGGACTCGTAGGTAGTAGATTTATCAATAGATTTCATACCGCTGTTGATCTGGAGGAGAACATGATCATGCGAGCTGCATGATGATATCCTCAAATGCACTTGAGTTTCAGACTGACTTCAGATTCAAGCTGCCTCGGATCTATCTCAGTGTGAATAGTGCGATTTGATTAAGAATATGTGTTACAATTCGTTTCCAAGAGCCACAAGAACAGCCAATCATAGAGTTTGACGCACCACTTAGCCACATGTTTGGAAGAGAAGACTGGACTCCTTTCGTTTCTGGTTTTGATACAGAATCGCTGCCGTTTCTGCAATACACAAAAAGATCACAAGAGTATCTAAGGCGCAGCACCGTGACCAGCAAGCACACATTGGAAGAGGGCTGACGTTGTCCAGAAAAATTGGAAGATGGCTGGTTACATGCAAATTTAGATTTAATAAAAGACCAATATGTAGCCCACTGTAAGGTGCAGAGCTGTAGCCATAACTTGTGGCTGCTTTTCATGCACCTACAAGTAGCTAGTCTCCAAGTGTCCTTGGAAGTCCTTGACATGCGGTCTCTGTACAAAGATTTCGTCGAATTGCCAAATCAAGGGCAGCAGTACATAGCAGAACCACTTAGTTGCAACCATTTTCAAAAGCCTGGTGGTATTTGCTGGCCGGCCATACGACACCGACAGAGATGTTGGCATTGCTTCCAGATGTTGTCACCTGCCAAGTCTGCTCAGGTTTGATGTTTGACAATTGAGTGGAAATACCCATACGCTATCTGTGCACAGCAAAGCAGGTTTGTTTGATGATCAAAAAGTGCCCTTCTCGGTAAATGCCGATAGATAGGACAATTTGTAGTTTCCCAACCTGCGAGGAAAATTGGGCTGTCTGGCTGCCAAACTAGGCACTGTTCAGTTCAGTCTGTGAAACATTGTGAAACAGTCAATCTTGTGAATCCTATTCGCTCGGCCCTGTCACCGGCACTTCATTTCGCCTCCAATGACAATGACAATGGTATGACAACTTTTTTCAGCTCAGGATCCCTGAAACTCGGATCACCAACCAAGATTGTAAAATATTGTTGCTCTTTATACTGCCTACAATGCTTACAACAGGGAACCGTTGACATGGACGTTATTGGGGCGTCTTATTTGAGCTAAAAGGAAGCGGCTGACCACTTGAAATTGTCAAGTGATGTCAAGTGAAAGCAGCGCTCATTTCCCTTGCACTGTGGCTCTAGCTGCGGTTTCCTCCACAGGAGAGCACTCTGGGTGGAGGCGCCTAGAACACAATGCTGCCCGGGTGAAGAAATATCCCAGTGGTGCTTTCTGCAGCCAAAATCTGAAATGCGTTGATGTTCTGATTTTTCGGGTTCACATGGGTTCACACGAGATTGCTGGTACAGCATATTCACGAATACACACAATATATATCAATATATGATATGTGTGTGTGTTATGTACACATTCATACATAAGACTCTCTTCAAAGTGAGCTGTGATATTCAGGATATGAGATCGGATCATGCTCATTCAAAGCAGATGCTGTGATGTATCTCCAGTTGAGAAACGTCAGTACAGTACACCACTTACACCAGCCACTGCAGGTTCATGGCACCTCTGCCACAAGTACATGCGGAACGTGGCAGTCAGACTCCCAGTTATGGAAATCTCATGCAACTGCTGTCCTAAGAATGTCGCAAGTTCTGAAAGATCATGGGAGAGGCTAGAGCTTGCAGACACTAAGATCCGCTGGTTTGAGAAATTTTGAGAATCATTTGTGTCATGCGCCAAGAGGAATTCCTTGCTACCATGGCCTTTTAAGAGTGCTGACATGTGTTGTCATGTGGTGTCTACTGTACTACAGTTTGTCCTTTATATTCACGTCCTTTACATTCAGAAAGTAGCTTGTCCTGAGCGCAAGATTTTTAGGGATTTTTGTAGGGATTTTTGGACATGTTCAATACATTTCAATACGACAAAGGGAGCTTGACTGTCGCGATGCCTGATGGCTTCGTGGCAGGCACCGCGGTGCCATCCTTTGGCCGTAGCCTCGACTCCATCGCAGTGATCTAATTCAAGTGCAAAGTGAAATAGAAACCGACTAAATTACTGAGCTACTATCAATTTGTGCATAAATGATCATAAATGTGCATAGATGAATTGTGAACGATTGTGAAATTGCAGAAATCGAATCTTGCAATCGAACAGAATTGTCCCCGATGTTTTTGAGATTTTGCCCTGCCAAGACCTTCGGTTACAAGTGGTCAAGGTGATGATGATCCTGTTTTGTCAGCGCTTCGAAGATATCGTGACGCAGCAGGAAGCACTTTCCACCCTCTCAGTGAGGCACGCACTCAGGGCTTAGCAGTTATGTCCAGTTTTCCCGGTTGCCTTCGCTCGATAGAGTATGAAGATGTATGAAGACAAAATCTGTAAGTCCTGTCTGCTTCAAATCAGTCATGTCTTTTGGTACATGCACAATTTTGTGACAGTTTCATGTAATTAGAAGAGAAAACAGTAAGCTATGGTTTCTTGATGTTTCTTGCATAGTAGAGTATTCAGATTTAGAGTCATGTTTGTCCTTTAAGTTTGCTTTGATACGCAGAAAAAATCAACTGGAGGAGTTGCCGCATCGAAGTTTATTGACCATCTGATGCTATGTCATTCCCATTCGGCGATTAGCTCCAAGTTCAATGTTTGATTTTAAAGCCGCACATGTTAATGTATATAGTATATGGAGCACAAAACCTACTAAGAAACGACTTCCGTGCATGGTACCTTAGTAAAGTAGTGGAACATGTGCTCTCCCTTTTGGAAATGAAATTATCTTATAGTTTTATAGATTCGTATATTGGCATTGCTTCCCATACACGTTTTCAAAATACAGCATTGCGTTCGCCAAAAAAATCGAATGAAATGACTTTTCGGATAAAAAGTGATGAACCGTATATAATTTATAAATATGTATAATGCATCTCGCGAGTGAGGGTTTGTTAGTTGCACCCAAGTTTAGTTTGCCAGGGCCAATGGTTGTACACCTGAGGAAAATGACCCTGCCAGACTAAATTAAATTCACAAAGCTGATCTCAAGACTCGGGTAAAATTGAGTGTTTCATGGTGCTGCCTCAGATTTTTTTCAAGACATTTCAGAATAAATTCGGAGTAGCCTTGACCTTTTTGGGGCATCAAATTGTTGATCTTCTCGAGTCAGTCAGCAGGTAGAAGAGCCCGATGAGGCTTGGACAGCTTCATTCGCGAACAAATTGACATTGCACGAAGGGAACCTTCGGCCAGATTTAGAGAGTTGTGTCGTCCCTGTAATTATTCCAAATAAGAACAACGAGAACAGGTTATGGGTATGGACCCGGTAGGCCTAATGTACATTCTGGAAGCAGGCAAGCAACAACGCAAGTCAGAGATAAGCAGGGAGCAAACTGACGTAAACCCGTAAACCTGTCTCCGAGCATACAAGATCTTTCAATGACCAGACTTTATTCGGCGTCAATGCATCCAAGTATGTACTTGCAATGCAATATCATTCGCTAAAGAAAATTTAATGATAATTACACTCGGCACACATACGTCATGTTACAGTCATGTCACGGTCATGTTAAGCCACCATCTGCCGAAGGTGGCCGTTGACAGCAGCTCCTCGAGGTGCTGTGATCACCCACGGAGTGTTTATTTGTGGTTTGCTGACTTTGCTTTACCGGCATTGTACCTTATTAAGTCTTATTATACCTTATTGAATTTTATTGATAACCATATTGCATAAATATATACATGGATATATCGCACCATATTGTACCATGAGGATCCAGGTTGCAATCCACTGCACTTGTCCTGCTCAATCCTTTTCTATGTCAATGTTGCTCGTTTGCAAACTTAAAAATCAGATTAAAACACATTGCGTTAAATCAGCACAACTTAAGACTTAAGATGTTTTTCCCACTGCTATCTTTGTCTATGGTGCGTCGAGTTTGTCACAGGAGTTTCAACTGCGTATTAATGCGTATTATGTGATTCCCTGCAGACTGCATCGCACACATCACTTGCAGATTCGTAATTGCAAAGACTCCTGCCTTCGCATCCGACACTCCTAAGGCTGGGCGGCGAGGTTTCTCAAAGGTCTCAGACAATTCGCCCAGAAGATCCCAGAAGCAGCATGGATTCGACTCATATTGGTGCCCAGGTTTTGAACCAAATGATAGAGCGCTTCTATTCTTCAGACTTTTTTTATTGTGTTGGTTGCCTCGTTTTCAGACTGTTTAAAAACTCGCGTCTTTGTTTGGAGCTGCGTGGGTTGTAGTGTTGAAGTCAAGGAAGACAATTACATATTCTTATTATTCGTGGAGTGCGACGTGTTCTGGAGCTCCTGTTCCCCATGCCAAAGATTCAACATGTCAGTAGCATTCCATAGCAAAGTTTCCCCGAACTCAAAATCTGTGTAGCTGATTCCAGCAATCATTTTGCAAGTTGGGCTTTGCAGTAACTACTGTAGGTATCTGTAGGTCTCGACGCCTTCTGTGCTTGGAACTGGGGCTGAACTCCGAGTTTATCTCCCTTTGAATCCAATCTACCGTTCTGCCATCTCAACATATCTCAACTAGTTATATCATAAATTAATATAAATTAAATATAAGTCCTGCACATGAAAAAAGGTAACCCTTAGAGGTTGATGCACTCAAACCACCTAGGAATCAAGACAATTTGAGTTGATGAAATCCTACGACGTGCTGCCTGCCTGGCAGAACCGACCGACGATCACGGAGAATTTCTCGAATTTTGAGGCAGCTGCGTGGACCACGAAAGCCGTTGCAGTGTCCAATGCATTGGGGGATGAGACGAAGGAGAATTAATTCTATTCTTGAATCTAATATTGATAAAATCATTTATATACAATATGTATTAGTATGTGAATAATTTTGAACATATGATATGATTAAATGCAATTCAATCAACATCTGACAATGGGCTTGCGAGTGCAGTAGCTTCTGTCGTTATCAATGATTTGAAGGTCCGGGTTTGGGAAGAAATTCAGAATCCCTGGCGAGCAAATCCCATGTGTAAAATGCTAACCTAGTCGTTGCACTGGTCAACCGAACCCTGGAAAAACTCTTTGGGCTTGGGGTTTCATGGATAGTTCCACGTTCCAGCCAGGAGCACTCATGATGACTTTAGAATATTTTAGACTTTAGATACTTTGGGATGATTGGTCGCGCCACAATGTGTGAAGAAACCACAAACAATCAGATATTTTCGGCAGAAAGGAAGTGGCCAACACCACGCCGCCACGTTGAAACTGATCGTTTGCCAGGAAGATTTCCGACATGTGGTGGTGACCTGAGTCAACCTCTTCTGAAACGACAGCTGGTCTAAGTGAGGACCATCACAGGATGTTCATTCTGACTACATCGGACAGTGGAGAGAATATGAGAGAATGTTTCACAAAGAGATGAAGCATAACATTAAGTGAATGACTCTGCACAGACTGCTTCACCCTCTTTCACTCTTCAAAGATCCTGGGCCCCTTGCAGTAGAAAGGCAAGATTTCGAGCGAGTTCGCAAGCCTTTACGGTTGTGGGTCCCCTCATCAAACAGCGATCCACAGCTCCGGGGTCGAATGGTAAGTTCATCGCATAGTTTAGTTACGCCAGTTCTGAGACAATGTGCCCCTCCAGTGATTCGACAAGCGAAAGCTGTCCAAAACCCTCTGTGTTCAATGACTGTGTTCATTCCGTTTCATGATATTGATTATTAAGGATCTTTGTCATCGAAATGTCAAAGATTGATATAAAAGCATGATATTTGCAGCATCATAGCTATCACAGCATCCCCCATGAGAATCAGTTTGATTTACTATCCCCTATGATGTTCTATGAATTTCTATGATACCCATTTTGAGAATCCTGTGAGAACCGTGGCCGCCGTGGCGAGGTCTGTGGCCTGGCCTCAATGGACATGGGAGAGCTCCTTCCTTCATGGCTTGGCTGGACTGTGGTATCGCGTGGCCATGCGTGGCCGAAATGTCATCCAACCCCATTGAGCTTCAATGGCTAAGATTTGAATAGAGAATAGATTTGATGGATGCATGATATGCGAAGCATTCCTAAAATGAAGCCTCGAAGATACTTGTTGGATGCTGCTTGACTTCTTGCATCATTGATTCATTCCATAAGCGGCATGTTCAGATCGTATCGCTGCAGACCCATGGGCAATAAGGCCTATGTTTTTCCCACCTTATCTACTGGGTTTGCAAAGATAATTGATAGCTTACTCGTACATTTGAGGACTAGAGCTCGTTTTACTTCATTGAATTAAACAAATTATAATAAATTACCCTCTGGTTATTTAACATAGCCATGGAAAATGGCCCATTTATAGATGGTTTACCTATTGAAAATGGTGATTTTCCATGGCTATGTTAAATAACCAGATGGTATATACTTGACACATCTTGACCCGGTAGCAATGTGTACAGAATGTGTACAAAACGCCCGCCTTGCCCCAGGATCAATCCCTGGTTGGAGCCAACGGAGTCTGCTGGCAGATCCTGATGCTGTTCCTGTTCAACTTTGCGTGTTCACCATAGGTATCCATAGGTCATATCTTGGAAAGAGCAATCAAATAAAGATAAATAAAGATAAATAAAGTAATAAAGCCAATCTCAAGCGCACGTTTTTGAAGCTAGAGGGGTCCAAGTATTCAATACTGGGATCAAGTCAATCCAAAATCAAATGCTTAGTTGTTGGGTGCAAACAATCACAGTGGGGTCAGCTTATCGAGGCCTGTTCTCATTGTTGTGCTTCAATTTCAGTCGTTGCATTTCAGTTGTTGCATGGTATTGTGATCCCAGTGCCCACGTAGGATTTAGATGGATTTAGACTTATCAAAGTGAATTGTACGCAGATGCGCCGTGTGCACACAGAGCGCATACACAGTTGTCTCATGTGCTGCCTGCTTTTGTGCATCGTTTGAGTTGTGTGAAAGCAGCTACCAGGATATCGAACAGCCAAACAAGTCTGTTGTGTAGCTAAACACTTCAAGTCCTTCGGATCATAAAACAATGCCACATGCAGTCGGACGGGGAAGAAGTCAATTATTCCGAAACTTAGCGAGACCCACAGATTGACTCGGTTGTCAATATCCAACCACTCTGGACAAAGGTTAATTGTTTGTTTCAATGTAGCAAGAAATATGCCAGCCTCATCTCCCACATTCTCATCAATTCTCAACGTGGCAAAGGCCAGACCTCTGCGGTGCAGTGCCACAAAGAGGGCCGGAAACTTGGAGTAAGGAGGGCGAGCGCTGCCTCAAAAGAGATGGAAAGACCCTTGCCAGAACTGAAACAGGCACTTTCGTAGCACTTCAAGTGCAGCCTGGTCGGATGCATCATTTGGGCCTGGCACCCAGTGCCTAGTTGAGTCAGAAATTGCACGAAAATATGACAATCATGTATAATTCATCCTGCAAGATTGGCAAGGAAGGAAGCAATGCGCTGGTATGTACAATGTGGTGCCCCCCGGTTATCAGTTGGTTATAGTGTGTTTATAAACCCCATGAACCATACAATCTGTATGGTATAGATATAGTTACTCAGATACTGTATATCTAAATAAACCCTAGCTATATGGTTAATTATAAAATCACCACCCTTTTCGTCGGGTGTAGGCAAGGGGGGGTTCCAAAAATGTAAGTAACAATTTTGACCCCTGCGTATTTTTTCCCGTTGGGGTAGGCTAATTGTGTTTTTTTAATGTTTTTAAGAAAATAAATTAAATCCCGTAAAACGTGAGGGGACGTACTAAATGAAATCTTGCAATAAGACGTTGAAAAAAAAATAAATGCTTGCCAACATTTGACAGGTACCCCCCTTCAAAAAACGTCTAAATTGTGTCTTGCAATTTGGGTACGTCCCCCCTCCTTAAAAGGGTAGTGATGTTATAAACCAACTTGGCTAACTATGGGGCACCACCTTGTAGGTCCAGGATAGGCCAGATGGTGTAGAGACAGCAATAGCTCAGCACAATGTTTGAATATGTAGATCGTAATTGCAGCAATCGCAGGTTTTACCATGTGAGTGATGGTGATCGCAAGATTGAAGCCGCAAAGATGACGAAGCTTAACAGTGCGGTGCTGTGCACAGGTCTGCGGCAAGCCCCCGGGAAACCAAAGAGGAAGGATTCATCGCTGCGTCCTTAGAGTTGAACTATAGGTTGGAGGTGGACTAGTTGCATATATTCAGACGGCTCACTGCAAATCCATAATTCTGGGTGCTGTACTGCAGAAGCTCTCATTTTTTAATTCCTACAAGTGCACAAGTGCACACTTTCTTTGTCCTGTGTGGACTTCGAATGATGTTTGTGATATTTTGTGATTTTGCGCTGGGATGTTGTACTTCTTCTGCTCACACTGACTTGAAACCTTTTGGGCAGGTGCATCGATAAAAAAGTAATAAAAAGTATATAGGGCACGAAGTCCAACCTCACCAAATACCCACACTAGAATGACCCTATGATGAGTGTACTTGGTGTGTATTTTATAAATAAATAAATAAGTAAATAGATAAATAAATAAACTATATTAATGATTTGGTTTATTTTGGTTTATTTTGGTTTATTTTGGTGTCATATCACCACCATTTGGCTCAGGACTGCACGGCGAGTGCTGAACGAGGCTGGAATAGTCCAGGATGCAGATCGCCTCAGCAGTGAAGCCGTCGACAGACAAATATTGAGAGATCCTGAGATCCTAATTTGTGGATGTTTTTGGATCTAAAATGATTGATTATATAATTAAATTATTTGAGTATATCTGAATATACTTGAATATATCTGAATATCATGTAGTTTCTGGTGCTGAAGTCTTCACTGCTGATTCAGGACCTGCGCCTGTAGCTTTCTCTCCACCTGCTTCACAGGCAGAGCTCTGGCTAAAGGATCAGACATGGCCAGACCGGGAATGCTTCTTATGTCAGACATCGTCAGACATTGTCAGACTTCATAAGCGCCAACCACTGGGATTTTCTTTCCTTTTTCAAGTGCACGTGGCACGGGGGAAGTTCTACCTTAGTAGTCATCAGGCGTGTCGAACGCGGTTGCCCGGCGCTGGGCGACGACGGGATGATGGCGCCAAAGCTTTGGAGGAGCTTTCGACGCGCTGAAGTCCCCTGTGAAGACCTGTGCGCACTTCATCGCACTTCTATGCACTTTCACTTCTATGCACTTCGACTCTGATGATTCTCATTAAAACATATTCAAACTGAAAGTGTGTCTCCTGTAGCACCCAGCGTCAAGCACTCACATTCTGGTTCGCAGATAGGTGACTGCAGACTGCAGCACAAGAGGATCCTCTAGGGCCCAGACACCTCACCTTGGAAGGCCATTCGAGAGCTTCCGCATGGCCTGAGTCAAATCCCAAGAACTTTGATGGGGCGAGCTGGATTTGTGCATATTTGTGCAAGGGGTTGACGTTCGACATGTGGCCAAATTTGGCTAAAATTGGGTCTGAATCTGTAGACTCCACCGGCCAGCATCCAATGTACTGTGGTATTTCAAGTGCCGGATTTTGTGACACAGAAACTGACGATGGTGATGATCTACTGTAATCATATCTAATCTAAAGGGCAAAAGAATTGAAACATGTCGTGTAAGTTTCTTAGCAACCAGAGACTTGTCTACAAGTCTAGCAGCAAATTTGCATGCAGGAACAGCTCACCCAGAATATGACTCTTCAATATATTCAATGCACTGCAACGATTACAGGCAAATTCACTGGTGCAAAAGATGGTCATCGGACTTGCGCTGAGGGTCCAGCACGTTCGATGAGCTTTTGATCCCGGACCTTGATGCTGCACAGGCATCAAGTTGTATGGATGGGTTTGCAAACAATATATGTATTATATGATGTCATAATATATTTTATCTTACATGTGAGTAGGTTGGTTGGGAAGGGTCTTCATGTGATTTGAAAAGATAGGGGGACAGCTGGATGTCTTGAACCATTTTGGCTCAAGCCATCCAGCCTGTCCCCTCTGCTGTTTTTCTTCCCTCCCTCCTCTCTCTGATCCCCTCTGCGGGGTGATGGGAGGGGGGGGGCTTTGTTGGGTTTACAGCCTCCCCCCTTTACGTGTGTTTGGGATGGGGTGTCCAAAGATGTTCTTTGACCCTAATCATTTGAAGAGTGTAAGGGTTATCTGTGATACCCAACCTCTTATCTGACCCATTGTTATTTTATAACAATGTGCTCTGTAAACACTTGCAGCGGCATAGCTAGACTTGAGCCTCGAAGAGTGTCCAGGAAAAGATAGAGTGAGTGCAGGTGACCTCCCAATCTTTTCATATAGAATAATATATAATACATTGCAAACCACTATCACATACAATGTTTTACAATGTTCTACATATATTTTTGTGATATATATATAATATATAAATTATTGTAGAGCTTCGCACACCGGCGACGCCGGTAGGGGTCGGGGGAGGGAAAGAGAGAGGGGGATGTCATCTGAACTTGCGAACATGACATGCTGAGGGTCGGCGGCCTATCTTGGGGCTATGTTGGCCCATCTTGGGGCTATGTTGGCCCATCTTGAGGCTATGTTGGCCTATGCCTAGTGTTGTAATTTACAGCATTTTGTGCTGTGAGATGGTAAGAACCCGTGTAAATACCACAGTTTTAGTCCCCGAAAGTGGCTAAAACACTCTTATTTACAGAGTTTCGTTCACATCACGATCTTCGATTTTTTGAAAAACGTGTAAATACCAGCGTTTTTTGCATTCATCAAGACAAAAAATCGGTTCAAAAAGTGCAAAAAATGCTGTAATTTACAGGGGAGTGGCCCCGTCACAAGCAAAAAACTGCGTAAATACCAGCGTTTCGGCGTCCAAAAGTTGCCAAAACACCGCTATTTACAGTGTTTCGTGCCTTCCACGTTTGCTTGAAATTGCAGAAACATTGTAAATACCAGCATTTTTTGCGATCAACCCGCCAAAAATGCTGTAATTTACAATGTTTTTTTGCTTGGCTTTCAAAAACACTGGTATTTGCAGTGTTTTGTGCATCTCGGGTCCAAAAAGTACTGGTATTTACAGCATTTTCTGCGTTTTTGCATGGCTCCCGCCAACGACGTTAAAACGCAAAAATGTTGTAATTTACAGCATTTTGTGACTTCCGAAAAGCGAAAAATCGTCCGAAAAATGTGTCAAAACGGTACTTTTTTCCGATTTTTGGGACCTCCAAAACGCATCTTCAAATTTTACAATCTTTTTGTCCACCCCAGACCCCGAAAAACGTGAAAACCCCACCAGGCTAAAGGATTTTTGGGGAGGGTCGGCGGCAGGGGCGCGCCCCCGGGTAGCTAAAGCTATGCTTAGCTTCCCCACACTACACGGCGAGGCGTCGCCGGATTTAAGGGCTGCCACCCCCTGCCGCCGACCCCTGGCATCTCCTGAACAAGGAGAGCCCTGAACAAGGGCCGGTCGGGCGCTCAGCAAACAGTACGTAGTCTCCTGAACAAGGAGAACCCCGAACAGGTGTTAGTTTTTTCGATCCATGTGTAGAGTGTGGAGTGTAAAATGTGGAGTATGAAGTGTGGAGTGTAGAGTGTGAGTGCGGAGAGTGTCAAGTGTAGACTGTGAGACTGAACTGGCAAAAGGTTTAAGGGCACCCTAGGGCGCCGGGACACGTTTAAGACGTTTAAGGGCAGCCTAGTGCCTAACGTTGCTTTCTGAAACCAGAAGAAAATCTCCAGGAAAGCGCCCGGCAGGTGGCCAAAGGACATGCTGCTGGGCCGCCAAGGGCGCCGGGAAAAAACGGACATGCTGCTGGGCCGCCAAGGGCGCCGGGAAAAAGGTTTAAGGGCAGCCTAGGGCGCCGGGACACGTTTAAGACGTTTAAGACGTTTAAGGGCAGCCTAGTGCCTAACGGCCGCCTAGGGCGCCGGGACACGTTTAAGACGTTTAAGGGCAGCCTAGTGCCTAACCAAGGGCGCCGGGAAAAAGGTGTAAGGGCAGCCTAGGGCGCCGGGACACGTTTAAGACGTTTAAGGCCAGCCGAGTACCTAACGTTGCTTTCTGAAACCAGAATGAAACAGTTGTTTACTACGTGGGAACTAGCTGCATGGACAGTGAGGCCTGGTTTGTGTAGGTCAGCCAGTGCTGCTGTGTTAGTTCTATGGTCTCGCGGTGCGTTCTCTTCCGCCAGTATTCTCTCTAACCTCCCCGCAATGACATCGCACATGGCTGCTGTCATGTTTTAAGGCCAGCCTACTGCCTAACGTTGCTTTCTGAAACCAGAAGAAAATTTCCCAGGAAAGCGCCCGGCAGGTGGCCAAAGGACATGCTGCTGGGCCGCCAAGGGCGCCGGGAAAAAGGTTTAAGGGCAGCCTAGGGCGTCGGGACACGTTTAAGACGTTTAAGACGTTTAAGGGCAGCCTAGTGCCTAACGTTGCTTTCTGAAACCAGAAGAAAATTTCCCAGGAAAGCGCCCGGCAGGTGGCCAAAGGACAGGCTGCTGGGCCGCCAAGGGCGCCGGGAAAAAGGTGTAAGGGCAGCCTAGGGCGCCGGGACACGTTTAAGACGTTTAAGACGTTTAAGGGCAGCCTAGTGCCTAACGTTGCTTTCTGAAACCAGAAGAAAATCTCCAGGAAAGCGCCCGGCAGGTGGCCAAAGGACAGGCTGCTGGGCCGCCAAGGGCGCCGGGAAACAGGTTTAAGGGCAGCCTAGGGCGCCGGGACACGTTTAAGACGTTTAAGACGTTTAAGGGCAGCCTAGTGCCTAACGTTGCTTTCTGAAACCAGAAGAAAATATTTAGGAAAGCGGGGGGCAGGTGGCCAAAGGACAGGCTGCTGGGCCGCCAAGGGCGCGGGGAAAAAGGTTTAAGGGCAGCCTAGGGCGCCGGGACACGTTTAAGAGGTTAAGACGTTTAAGGGCAGCCTACGTTGCATAACGGCAGACCTAGGGCGCCCGGACCACGTTTAAGACGTTTAGGGCGCCCTTAGTGCCTAACCAAGGGCGGCCGGGAAAAAAGGTTGTTTTTGTAAGGGCAGCCTAGGGCGCCGGGACACGTTTAAGACGTTTAAGGCCAGCCGAGTACCTAACGTTGCTTTCTGAAACCAGAATGAAACAGTTGTTTACTCCGTGGGAACTAGCTGCATGGACAGTGAGGCCTGGTTTGTGTAGGTCAGCCAGTGCTGCTGTGTTAGTTCTATGGTCTCGCGGTGCGTTCTCTTCCGCCAGTATTCTCTCTAACCTCCCCGCAATGACATCGCACATGGCTGCTGTCATGTTTTAAGGCCAGCCTACTGCCTAACGTTGCTTTCTGAAACCAGAAGAAAATTTCCCAGGAAAGCGCCCGGCAGGTGGCCAAAGGACATGCTGCTGGGCCGCCAAGGGCGCCGGGAAAAAGGTTTAAGGGCAGCCTAGGGCGTCGGGACACGTTTAAGACGTTTAAGACGTTTAAGGGCAGCCTAGTGCCTAACGTTGCTTTCTGAAACCAGAAGAAAATCTCCAGGAAAGCGCCCGGCAGGTGGCCAAAGGACATGCTGCTGGGCCGCCACGGGCGCCGGGAAAAAGGTTTAAGGGCACCCTAAGGCGCCGGGACACGTTTAAGACGTTTAAGACGTTTAAGGACAGCCTAGTGCCTAACGTTGCTTTCTGAAACCAGAAGAAAATCTCCAGGAAAGCGCCCGGCAGGTGGCCAAAGGACAGGCTGCTGGGCCGCCAAGGGCGCCGGGAAAAAGGTTTAAGGGCAGCCTAGGGCGCCGGGACACGTTTAAGACGTTTAAGACGTTTAAGACGTTTAAGGGCAGCCTAGTGCCTAACGTTGCTTTCTGCAACCAGAAGAAAATATTTAGTGAAAGCGGGGGGGGGGGGCAAGGGGGGGGGGGGGCAGGTGCCAAAAGGACAGCTGAGGGGCAGAAAAGGGCGCGGGGAAAGAAAAAAGGTTTAAGGGCACCCTAGGGCGCCGGGACACGTTTAAGACGTTTAAGACGTTTAAGACGTTTAAGGGCAGCCTAGTGCCTAACGTTGCTTTCTGAAACCAGAAGAAAATCTCCAGGAAAGCGCCCGGCAGGTGGCCAAAGGACATGCTGCTGGGCCGCCACGGGCGCCGGGAAAAAGGTTTAAGGGCACCCTAGGGCGCCGGGACACGTTTAAGACGTTTAAGACGTTTAAGGGCAGCCTAGTGCCTAACGTTGCTTTCTAAAACCAGAAGAAAATCTCCAGGAAAGCGCCCGGCAGGTGGCCAAAGGACATGCTGCTGGGCCACCAAGGGCGCCGGGAAAAATGTTTAAGGGCAGCCTAGGGCGCCGGGACACGTTTAAGACGTTTAAGACGTTTAAGGGCAGCCTAGTGCCTAACGGCCGCCTAGGGCGCCGGGACACGTTTAAGACGTTTAAGGGCAGCCTAGTGCCTAACCAAGGCGCCGGGAAAAAGGTGTAAGGGCAGCCTAGGGCGCCGGGACACATTTAAGACGTTTAAGGCCAGCCGAGTACCTAACGTTGCTTTCTGAAACCAGAAGAAAGTCTCCCAGGAACCAGGAAAGCGCCCGGCAGGGCGACCTTACGCGTTTAATGCCCGCGCAGACGGCATTTCCCCCACTTTGTGCGAGACCGCTCATGCGGCCCTCGGGGGTGGGTTTGCAAAGATCTTGAGCCAAAGACTACCACCATACGAACAATACACTGGCCGGTGGCCTTCAAACAATCGACACAATCAGAATCCTGGAAAAGCTTTTTCTCGGGCGCGCTCCCCCTGCAACTTGCTGGGGTCGGCGGATATATATCATATACTATACCTTGTATGTAGGATATAATGACTTATAACTTATAATGTATTGTTTGCACATATAGTATGTATATACAGTCAGTGCCAGAACGGAGCCAGGAGTACAAAAGTACGGTAAAATACCGTATCTTTGTACTCCTCCGGGTTCCGATTCCGCGCGGAGTCGGGGGTTTAATTATAGAACGGGGATCCGTTCTATAATTAAATTTCCCCGTTCTATAATTAAATTTCCCCATTCTATAATTAAATTACTCCTGGCTCCGATCTATAATTTCTGGCACTGACATGATATTTACTGCATATTTGTACATATACAATCTATAAAATGAAGATGTAATGAGGATTGATGAGGAAATGAAGATAAAATGCAGATAAAATGAAGATTTGATGAGGAAACGAGGATAAAATGAAGTTTGCTCAGCTCTTTCTGGGACCCCGGAAGAGGTTCTATAACTCTATAATTAATTTTTCCGTTCTATAATTAATTTTTCCGTTCGACGGAAAAATTAATTATAGAACGGGGCCCGGGAAACATTAATTATAGAACGAAAATGGGAAATGTGAGAAAAATGGGGGAAAACAGAATTATAGAACAGCAGCGCTCCGACAAGAATTATAGAACGACGAAAAAAGTTAGGAGTAAATTCAGATACGTTTTTTTTTTCACACCTTCCGAGGAAAACTGAATTATAGAACAACAGGGTACGGTAAATAACCGTACCTTCGTACTTCTCAACTTCCGTTCTATAATTCCGGCACTGACCATATATATATATATATATATACTAGCCCCCCTCCCAAAACCGACGTTTTTGAGAGTTGGCAATGGGTGTCGTAGGGCTGCAAGGATTTGAAGGGATTGCAGACATGTATCATCCCAAACCACAAGATTTCAAAAAGGTAGGTCAAAAATGGTAAATCTTTGGGGGTGGGTACCATATAGCTACACCCCCAAAGATCTACCATTTTCAGTTTTTTGTTGATGTTAAAGAGGTAGTATTTGTTGGGAACCTTTTGCAAAAACAAAGTAGGTACACTACTACTTTCAAAAAAGATGAGCACATACTCAGGTCAGAAAGCACAACATTTCTTGAAGGAAGCAATTTGTTTTAAATTGCAGTGTTCCTTTCCATGCTTGAAAAAAGGCAACTTCATTCATAAACTGCATTTTTTCTTCCAGACAAAGTATGACTTCGTTCAAGAAACAGTACCCCTACAAAGTATAGAGCATTCCTCTAAACATGCAGTGATTTTTTTTCTGAAGATGTGCAGTCTTCCTTTCAAACTAATATTAAGCCTTCCCTCAATCATACAGTATTTCTTTCAAAACACCAGATTCTAACATTTTGGATATGTCTATGTTTTTGATGCAACAGAGTAAGAATAATATTTTGATCAGCAATTGTTAATCTACATTGAATATAGCTTCATTATAGATTCCATATACTTTAATATACCAGTGAATTGACCATAAACATATCTTTAATAAACCTTTAGTAAACCTTTGGCATACCTTCAATATCCCCTGTTAAATACCATCTTAAAAAAATAAAAACTTTAACATACCATTCAATATGCCTGTAGCATTCCATTGGATAACGATGAAGCTATATACCTTTAATATATGATTCAATTGGCCTTGAAAATACCTTTAGTATGCTTTAAATATACCTGCAATGCATAAAACTTCATCACTATACCATTTAATCTACCTTAGATATACCATGTTATTGGCCATGAAAACATCTTTAATACACCTTTAGGATACCTCTCTACCTCTAGCATACCTTTTATTTTCCATTTAATTTGTCTTTAATAAACCTTTAATGTACAATCTATACTTAGCTTACCATTTAAGAACCGTTAATATTCCATTTGATATACCATTAATTAACACTATTAAACATGTCGTTTACTACACCTTTAGTATACCTTGAAGGTATATACCTTTCATATACCATTTAATTGACCTTGAAAATACCACTATGTATCTAAAATACCTTTTACTTACCATTTAGTTGGCCTTTAATAAACCTTAAATATACAATCTATACTTAGTTTACCATGTTAGAATCATTAATATTCCATTTGATATACCATTACTATATGATTTAATATGGTTTTAGAATACCATTTTATTTACCATGAATCTTCCTCTAATATACCAGTTGTTTGACTTTGAAAATACCTTTAATATACCTTTAGTATACCATCTAATCCACCTCTAATATACCATTTAATTTACCTGTAGTATACCTGTAATATTCCAGTCTGGCCATGAATCTATATATATATAATATTTATATATATATATATATCTTTAGTATATCTTTAAAATACCTTTAAAATACCTTTAAAATACCTTGTGTTTTCATTAAAAATGTCGCTTTCTACACCTTTAATATTCCAAGTGCATGCAGTACCTGAGAGCATAGCGCTATGTTAGCCCGCTAGCATAGAGGGCCAGGTACTTAGAGCAATTTTGTCACCAAAAGCGTTTGCAAACGTTTGCAAACGAGACTGGCTCAGTATTCAAGATTCAAGATCCAAAAAAAACTTTTTGAATCCCGGGGCTAGGATCAGGAGAGTTTCTGGATTCAAGAATTGTTTTTTGAATCTTGAATCTTGAATCCTGAGCCAGTCTAAGTACTTGGGCCCCTGGACTCGTTTGCAAACGTTTGCAAACGCTTCTGGTGACAAAATTGCTCTAAGTACTTGGGTTCAACAGTAAGACAACAATTAATACACACATATGATCACATATATGTATGTATGCATGTATATATATATATATATGTGATATTATGATTATATATATATAATCGGTGCATGTCAAAATATGTTCATGTCTTGTTAGCACTTTGAATAAGGAGCCACTCCGTCAACCCTCGTGCAGAGTGAACGGATCGTTACCAACCTGTCGAACTACGTTCCCGTGCAATAGCCGGCCGCGGCCGTGTGGAACTGTCGCCGGTTTCAAAATGGCATGCCAAAGTTAGGTCGGTGAGTGCATGTGGTTCACAGTAGAATCCAAGGCATCAGTATTATCCCAGTGGCATTTTCAGTTTGATCATGGTCATTGTGTTTTGCGCGTTCTTCAATTTTTCACTAGCGTCATTGAAATTATCATCTGGTTGTCCCACTTTTTGCAGGCTTTGTGCGGGTTTTTCTTCCCATTCCTCCGGCAAAGTCAAAACGCACTACTGTACTGAAATTCGTTGTTGCATCATTTGACCACTTGTCAGCCAGCAAAGCTTTAACTTTCTGCAGAAACAGAGCCGGAGTCAGTCCAGAGCGATGAACATTATGGTCATTAGCCCGCCCCACCCCAGCCAAACCCCAACCACCCCCGAAAAGTGCAAAAATTATACACGGCTGTCTGTGGTACGGGTGCCAACTACAGAAGAGCGGAGAAGTTATTGGACGCTATCGATTGCACCTTGAAGTTGGGAGAACACAAAGAAACATCATGCACCGTAATGTTTTCAGGAGTAGTGCTTGTCCCATAAATTCTAGACACCAGACACGGCTTGTTGCGGTGGCCCTTGGGGTTGGTGGCTGTGAAGTTGATCAGATGCGGAGCAGAAATAGGGAATGTGTTTGCTAGCCATGCGGACGCCACAAGTAGGCAAACTAATTTGTTTTTGGAGTTGACATGATCTCTTCTTCATGGTAGTGGTGAAGTATGTGGACCTGGAAACCACGAGTGGATGCTTCTACTATTTGTTCTTGGCATGCTGTACGGGTCGGCGCACAACCACATAGCCTGGGTCTATTTTCCAGGCTTCTCACTTTTATAGTTCCCGCAAATCCAACATGCAGTATCCAGCGCGCAAGCCTTGTGACAGGCGTGGCCACCCCTGCCAGACTTTAGCAAGGGGTGAGGAAGCCAAGGATGAATCTGAGGGTAGTTGGCGGGGTGCAAGAAGACCGAGAAACGCAAGAAACGGAGGGATTGAGCGCCCAAACTGCGGGGTTCAGGGCTGGATCCCAAATCTTAAGCCGCTGTTTTCTTTTCTTTTAGGTTGGTGCAAAGTAGTGCAAAGATTGAAAAATTGAATTAAATATGTGTACCTTTGTTGTCCTTTGTTTATCACCCGTGTTTGTCTCGAACCGCGGTTATAGAGTTTGATCACATTGGTACCGCAAGTGATCGCAAGTCCAATTTTTGTGTGTTCGAAACATACTGGGTCACTTGCTGCGTTAGTTTCCCACGACCCCGTGTTTCAGATAATGATTGTGCTGCCTTTTTTGCGCCCGAATCCATTGTGTCCCTGAATGTTAAGTCAGTACGAGAGAACACAGGCTCTCCAATGACAACCAAAAACACTGGTTGCAAGGATTGTCTTCCATGTATGTTGGCTCTTCGTTGCGGTGTAGCACAGTGCACTCAGGATCGAACTGGGTGCCACTTTTGCAGACTTCTGTGAAGGGTGGGGAATTGGCAAAGTTTGCTGGGACGCTTAGTTTGCTGACGCCGTGGGTGAGTGTTCATGTAAGGGACAACACTTCAAAACCTGGACGGTTGGGGTGTTGAAAGTTATGTTGTCCCAAATCCTTGATGGTCAGGTGAGGTCAGTTCAGCTACAATTAGATGCGAGTCGTTGGTGCATCATGAGAATACATTCGGATCGCCCACTGCATCCGATAGCAACAGCAGCAACAACCTTTCTGATCACAAGGGATGATGCAAGAGTTGTTTGATGTTGTTTGAGTTTTTAGTACCATTGCTCACTAGCACTGCCATGTTTGAGTTCCGTAGCTTCCACTTTGAAGCATAAATGGTTGAAAGAATTGCAGGAGGTAGCAACATGAAATGACTGATCAATCGACTGCGAGAAAGAGTCGCAACTCTTTGGTGGGTGATGATTCAAGAGATATTGTAAAATTGTAATATATATATATATGTAGGTAATTGTAGGTGTATATATATATATGCATATTATATAGTATTATAATATATAATATATTAATATATATATATTATGATATATATTGTAATATATATAATATAATATCATATAATATAATATGATATAATATAATATAATATATACATATATATATATACACATATATATATATATATGATAACAATAATGATAAAGTAATACTGTGTCTGTGTCTTGTGAACATAACATGTTCACATATTGTGTATATATATATACAGTATATAATGTAGTTGAGATATGATGTAGATGTAGCAATCCTAGACGTATCAGATATAGAGGTCTCCTGGGAGCAGATCCCTGGTGACAAACAAATCTCATTGCTTGGCACTGTGCAACACCTACAATACAACACTATATATACAATATCGGAGCATTGGGATGATTAATATAATATATATATATAATATATATATATAATATATATATATAATATATATATATATATAATATATATATAATATAATATATATTAATATCATAATGCAACCCCACATATCCATACTGAATATGATTACAGTAGGATATGACGGACCAAGATATGAAAAGGTGATCGTTGATCCACTGCAATGGCCCAGGTGAGGCTACGATTTCTGGGACTTCTGGCGGCCGCAGCTCAGACATGTTGATCGTAGAACTTCGGTTGAGCCTCTTGGCAACAACCAGCGGGGCTCACCGTCACCGAAATTCATCTGAAGTCAATGCTTGCCATGTGGATGGGATGGGCCTTGAGTGTCCCAAGTCCTGAATTTGGCCGCAGTTTATCCATCTTCACAATCACAATTTTGCAACCTCAGATGCGGAGCTGAATGCTGCACAACTGCGACGTCTAGGCACGCTCAAGTGGTTCCTGTAAAAAGGAACGTGCCACGAGCAACGCAAGAGCCCAATGCAGAAAGCCCAATCCCAAACTCATCAAGAGTGCAGCTTCATCAACCAATGCACACCTGACCAGATAGATCCTCACAGTCCTAAAAGGCTAGGCATTATTCGACGGTAGAATACAACCTTCGGACCTTCGGACATCTCTGCTGAGATAGCTCCAAAAGCCCATTCAAATCTACAGAGATTCACCATAACCTCCCATGTCCACATGGCTTTTCAGGGGCTTCCCTGCGACGGAGTAGCAGTTTGCC